GGGGGGGGGGGGGACGGACCTTGGAAGAATCGACTTTTTCGAAGGACTTGAGTACTTCTAGCACGCGGGCTGTGATCTCGTCTTTGGATAACCCAGCGGCGGAGTAGGAGCGAGCGAGGGGGACGATGGGGAGGCGATGCTGCTGCTGTTGGGGGAGAGAAAGTGGGCGTGCGAGGGATAGAAGGGGGGATGTCCTGTAGATGGTGCGTGGGAGTGAACGGAGAGGGATACGGACTGAGCGGGTGAATGACATCTTGAGAGTGAGAGGTGAGTGGGTGAGTGAGTGAGATGGACTGCTGTTAACTTGACTGAAGAGTCGATTGTGAGTTAAACGGAAGCAGATTTACTTCCGTTCCATATTCGGTAAATAAGTTCATAGTTCATCGAACTTGCATTTCATTCCTCACCCAACACTCCTCTCCTTACTCCTCACAATGCGCCATGGAAAAGCGCATCGCAAACTATCCCGCCCAAGCGCACACCGAATGCTCATGCTCAGAAACCTCGTCTCCTCTCTCTTACAACATCAGCAGATAACGACCACGCTCGCAAAAGCGCGTGAAGCGCAGCCTTTGGCTGAGAAGATGATCACCTTAGGGAAGAAGGGGACGTTGCATGCGAGGAAGATGGCTGAGCAGTTCGTTCTTGTGCGTCTCTCCCTCGCCCCTTCCCTTCCCTTCCTTTCACCTACTCACCCCGCGCAGAACCCGAAAGACACCCTCCCCCTCCTCTTCGGCCCTTACGCAACCCGCTACGCCCATCGCCCAGGGGGCTACGTGCGCATCCACAAGTCCGGAAACCGTTTCGGGGACAACGCGCCCCTTGCCATCCTCGAGCTTGTTGACAATCCCCGGGATCTGAGGTTTGCGATGACTGCTCGGGCTGTGGGGCGGGAGACGCTCGGTTGGTTTTGGAGAAGAGGGGAGCTGGAGCGGGGGAGGGGGAGGAGAGGACTGCCCGGGTTGGATATCGCTGGTGAGGGACAAACACGGGAACAGGAGGTGGTGGCCAGGGAACCGGATTTGGCGGGGAAAGAAGTGGACAGGCTCTTGAGGGAGAAGACGAGGTTGAATCGCGCGAAAGTGCTTAGGTATAGGGGCAAGCAGGGTAGGGAAGAGCTCAATGCCGCTGCGAGGGGGTATGTGGATGAGCTCCTTGCTCAGCCTGAAGTTCTCGGCGGGCCTAGGAGGCTTAAGCCTGCTCCTCCGGACGCACCTGCGGGGGGAGCGTGGGTAGGCAAGAAAGTCTGGGCTGGGGAGCGGACGACCGGGATGGGCACGAGCAGGGTTGGTTTGGGGATCGCACTCGGTACGCTGGGGAGACGGAAGTGGGTCAAACCGGTTATGAGAGGGTGGGATAAGGAGAGGGAGAGGAAAGTTGACAGCGAGTTGGACGAGATGGAGTTGCTGGAGAGGAGGGAGAGGGAGGTGAAGAGGAAGGAGGAGGGGATGAATGTTTAGTTGATTGGAGGGGAAATGGGATTTGATTCGCTGCTCAGTCTCAGTGCGTGCTGTGTATTGCATACAGTTCTGTCCGGGAAAGAAAGGGATGAGAAAGGAGAGAGGAGTAAGAAAGTGGAAATGTGAATGGAAATGGAAATTGTCCGCCCGTCTGACCTCCTCCATCCACTCGCGTCTACTGCCTGCGGAACTTCTCCAGCACCTCCGGCCCCCGCTGCCCCTGCTGCCCCTGCTCATACCCCTGCTCATACCCCTGCTCATACCCCTGCTCCTCCTGCTCCGGCTGTCCAATCCCCCCCGACATAGTAGGATACGGCATCCCCTCCCCATACCCCTCCCCATACCCCGCTCCAAACCCGCCCCTCGGCGGACTAGTAGGAGGGACAAACGGTTCCCCTCTAATGGTACTCGTTTCGCTCAAGGTCCTCACATGACCCTGGAAGTCGGAGTACTGCGCCCCTGCGCCAAGACCTGCGTTCCCGGCTCCTACGCCTGCGCCAGCGCCAGTGCCGTCGGACAGCAGGTCACGCGACTCTTCTAGCGAGCCACGGGTATCCCACGCCCCGTGCGAGGAGAGGAGGATGTCGTCCGTCGGGGAGTAGACAGAGTTGTATCGTTTGTGGTCCGCGAGTTGGTCTCGTGCGTAAAAGGAGTTTATGAGCAGGAGGTAGCCCTGAGTCGTGGTTAGTAATGGGACGAATGAATCCAGGGCAGGGGACAGTGCGGGCTCACCTGGAAGATAGCAAGTAAGAGCCACAACCCTCCTAAAAGGCCAATATCCACCCAAGCGAAAATATTACACACGCTCTGCCCCTCTCCATCCAGCGCCCCCGCGCCCAATCCCGAGCTCTGTGTCGTATCGGGAAAGAAAGCAGCCTCGCACGCGCTCACAACAGTATTGTGCCGCGAGGCGCTTATCCCTATGAGTGCGGCTGCGAGTGCGAAGCAAGAGAGGACGAGGAGGGTGTTGAGGTACGTATAGGTGCGGAAGAGTTTTGTGCTCTCTCGGGCGACGCCGAAGAACCCTAGGACTTGACAGAGGGAGACGGCGTATAGCAGGCCGGCTTGGATGTAGGCTGTGATGCTGGGGATGGAGACGCCTACGACTGGGGGGGGTTAGTGAGTGTGAGTGAGGGTTGGGAGGGGGGCGTACTGGGTGGTGCTGCTAGTATAAGCGTGCCGATGAGGATTCCTGCTGAGAGCTGCTCGAGCAGGGCGAGGTAGATGCCCGTGTTGAGTAGGGGGATCGCTGGTATCCTGGTGTCAGTTGCGAACTGTGAGAGAGAGGAAAGCGTACCGCAGCAGCAGAAGATATGGCCTTGGCCGTTTCGTGACATTTTGGGTCGTACAATAAGTGGGAATTGATAAGTGGTAGAATAGATGCTGAGTCGTTGTTGTTGTTGTTGTCGTCGTCGTCGTCGTCGTAAGTGAAGAGGAAGCAGTGAGGACGCTGAGATGAAAGTGGTGGTGAGTGGGCCCATGTGGCTGTGCTAACTGCGCGCTAACGAATCTCGGGAATGCGGCACTTTTCAGGGACGACCGAGGCGCTTGTTCGTCCAGGACGGTCACCGGTTAACGTCGCACCGGTTGTACTTGTTTTTATTACCGTAATTTCTATTCTATCCAGTTGATCTCTATCCATATTTCGCTGTCTGTGGGAATGATACATTTGTGAGATGATCTAAAGCGCGTTTCAGCTCTCCCGATGTGCGCTTTGCTGGCATTCTGGCACATCTCTCTTCCGGCTATCCGCTTACTTCCCTTCTCCTTGCACAGTGCTGCGCTTGGGTACCCACCGTTCCTCTGACACGTTCTCTCCTCTGGTCTATCACCCATCTCTGATCCTGGACACCGATGGCCCCTCTCTACCCCTGGACATACCTCTACTACCAATTGGCGCCCCTTCCCTCCAGTTTCACATCTCCCAACTGTCTCTCAGGGAAGACCGTAATCGTCACCGGGGCCAATACGGGCCTAGGACTGGAAGCAGCACGCCATTTCGCCCGTCTCGGGCCTGCGAAACTGTGAGTCGTTTTCTCTACCCAGGACTACTGATACTAAATCAACGGCTTTGCTTGCGGGGGGTAGGATCCTCGCTTGCCGCGACCGGCAAAAAGGGGACCAAGCAGCCTGGGACATCGCGGACGACACCGGGTGCCCGAACGTCCAGAGCTGGGAAGTCGACCTCGCTTCCTTCGACAGCGTGCGGCTGTTTGCGGAGCGGTTTGAGAAAGAAGGAGGGGGGAGGCTGCATTTGCTTGTATGTGGGTTTGCTAGCCTACCGGAATGAGGGCTGAGCTGCTGTAGGTCGCTAATGCCGGGGTGTCGTTGCCATGGTATGAGAAGACGGAAGATGGGTGGGAAAGGATGTGCGTCTGCTTTCCGCTCATATCTTGCCGTTCTGAGATTGACTGTCCTGCAGGCTCCGAGTAAACTACATAGGCACAGCACACCTCACACTCCGGCTCCTTCCTTTCCTACTCGCCGCCTCCCCTTCTTCCGCACAGCAGAACGGAATCCTAACTGACGTCAGCGGCCCGAGACTTGTCACCGTCACCAGCGAGATGCACTACTGGGCATACGACAGGGCTGCGTTGACTGTCGTGAGAGTTATGGACACGCTCAACGAGGAACGGAGGTGTAGGCAGTGGGGGACGATGCTCTTACGCTACGGGGCTACGAAGAGTGCGTCCCTCCTGCATGAATCGGCCTTGCATGCTTATGTAAACCAAATACAGTGATGAACATCCTCTTCACCCAAGCCCTCTCCAACCGGCTTTCTCAGCTCTCCCGACCCACCCAGCTTACGGCAACAACCGTCAACCCTGGGTTCTGTCATTCTCAACTAACGCGCCACCTCCCCCTCTCCCTCCCCATCGCCTTGCTCAAAATGCTCATCGCCCGCCCCACGTCAATCGGGGCGCGCACGCTCGTCCATGCCGCTCTCGCCCCGGAGCTGGAAGGAGTTAGAGGAGTGTACCTGAGTGATTGTATGGTGAAGGAAGCGGGGGATTTTGCGGTGAGCAAGGCGGGAAAAAGGGCGGCGCAGCACATTTGGGTGAGTGTTTTCCTGCTAGGGGGATCCTGGCTCATCCGTTGATCGTAGGGGGAGACGCTGGACGTGCTGTTCGAGGCTGATCCTGGGTTGAAGGTCGTGTTGCGGGTTTGTGGGATAGAGGCTGAATAGGTAGTTAGGGAATGCAGACGGGTACGAGAACACTGTCTTGATCTGTACATATCAAAGATGGAACCAAATTTAGCACAATGCGCTGTTGGGCGAGGGTTGTATGTTGGCAATTTGAGCCAGTTCGGATGTCCTCCCAGTGGAGGAGACCAGCAACACATCCGTCGCAAGTCACCCGCACCGTGCCAGATCAACATACGGTATGTACTCGGAAGATCAACCCCGTCAATAATGATAACGATGTTCCCATTCGACATGTGTGCTATTCTGGAGTAATAATGTACATGGAAGAGTATTATGATCCATTTGCCCCTTCCTGCGGGAAGGTCAGCGACGTCCTCATCGGGAGAGAGGGGGGCTCCTACCTGTGAAACTACTCGTGGATAGGACTTCTGCGGCCATACTGGATTGAAGACTCCTTGATAAAGTGGAGGGAGATGATGGAGGCACTGGGCGAAAGGAGTAGGAAAAGGGGATGAAGTGCTTGAGATTACTAAGAACGATGTGCGAGCGTTGCGGCTGGCGATGGGTTCCAGCGTGCTTCTGTCGATAGAATGGAAGACGGGGTGAAGGATGGGAGGTGCAGGGAGGGAGGGAACAAAAAGGATCTTGAGGTCAGCATGAAAAATCGGTGACTGAATTTAAAATCGTCTGGATATCCTCTGGAGCGATATGTATCTGTCCGCGTCGTCCATGTAGGTATGGATGTCCAAGCTAATAGAGAGCTACTCTATTGAAATTAACCCATGATGTGGATAATACAAAGCACATGGACTCCGACTACTAGACAATATCGTAGGGAAAAACGCGCAATACGCCCGAAATACCGGATAGTTGATCAAGGACTTAGTAGAACTTGTTGTTGTTGTAGGCGCTTCTTCTTGGAACTTGAATTGGAGACCAGCCTGAATATGTGGGAACAAAACAAGGTTTGTCTGAATAGGTAGTTTCGGAATGCAGACGGGTACGAGCGTACTGTCTTCATCTGTACACCCAAAGATGGTACAAAATCTAGGACAACGCGCTGTTGGGCGAGGGTTGTTTGCTAGCAATCTGAGTCAGTTTGGATGCCCCCCCAGTCGACGCGCTGACCAAAAACGGAGGACACCACTAACACATCCGTCGCAAGTCACACTCACCGTGCCAGATCAACATACTATATGTACTCGGAAGTTCAACCGCATCAATAATGATAACGATGTTCCCATTCGACGCGTGCTATTCTAGAGTAATAATGGACATGGAAAGAGTATCATGATCCGTTTGCCCCTTACTGCAGGAAGGTCAGCAACGTCCTCATCGGGAGAGAGGGGGGCACTTACGTGTGAAACGCCGACAATTACTCGTGAATAAGAGTTTGGCGGCCATACTGGATTGAAGACTTCTTGGTAACGCGGACAGGGAGATGATGGAGGCGATGGGCGAAAGGAGTAGGAAAAAGGGATGAAGTGCTTGGGATTACTAAGAACGATATGCGAGCGTTCAGGCTGGCGATGGGTTCCAGCGTGCTACTGTCGATAGAATGGAAGACGGTGTAAAGGATGGGAGGTGTAGGACGGAAACACCAAGGGAGGAAAAAGAGATCTTGAGGTCAGCATGAGAAATCGGTGGTTGAATTTAAAATCGTCTGGATATCTTCTGGATCGTTTTGATTTTGCCCTCATCGGACATGGTCGTATGGATGTTCAAGCCTTCAAGGCTGCTGAAACTGGAAATCAGCTGATCGACTCTTTCATTGGTTATTTCTAGTCGGTCATCACTTTCGCACTTGCACCTCAGTGTAAAGGTTTTTAAATCTAGTCGTTCGAGTCCTTTTAGTGCCCTCGAAAAAGAATCATCATTGAAAGAGCTATCACCTTCAGTGAGTGTGAGGGTGAGATGATCAAGCCGGCCGGAGCCCACGGCAGGGGGGCTGATTGTGTCGATGAGAACTGCCAGTTCCTGCATATCGGAAATCCATGTAAAAAGCTTCAACGATAACAGTCGATCGCATGATCGTACCGCGATAAGAAGGGGGAGACAAAACCAGAGCTCGGCCGAGATTTTCAGTTCCTCCAAACTTTGGAAAATGTGTGGACGCGGGGTGTCATTTGCCAGAAGTTCGGAAAAGATGTTCCGTCCTTGGCGTAGATCTGACTCGATCAGGTTTGCGGATGGAAGGTCTATCCTAAGGTCTGTGTAGCATAGTGACAGATTACGGAGGGAGGGTAAATTACTCAGACCAGCGAGGACCTTTTCATCGCTCACTAGTGGTCCTGAGAGCACCAAGGTTTTGATCGCTGGCATCGAAGTGCTCAAAGCCTGTAGCAAGACATCTCTCTGGTGATCCGTAATCATCACGAGGGTGAGGCTGGTAAGGTGGGACCATTTAGAACAGACCTCAGCGAGAAAAGAACCTTCAGAGCTCGAGCTTGGCATGTCTTTGTACATAATCACAAGAAGTTGGGAGAGGTTCGGAGATCGCAAGGCGACAGCCAAGGAGCAGAAAGATGGACCATATTTAGTCATCCAGAGTGCGTCGAGGTTCGGCAGAAGCGGACCTCCATGTCGTGTCTTCAGACGGCATACGGTTTCCACCACATCGAGTTCAATCTGCCTCGTCGTTTCACTTGATATCATTCTACCTCCCGCTTCGGTCGGTTTTTGGTGCCCGAGGCTTCCTGCAATTCCATAATCAAACGAGATCAGGCGCACAAATGAGCCATATATTGTCCAGCGCTGCATGTCATTATCCATGATGTGTTCCTCAACTAGAGGGAAAGAGTGGCGGGCAAGCAGCGTCGAGGAAGTAGATTCAGCAGAGCGTTCAGATCGTCGAGAGTCTGCCAGATTCTCTTGACACAAAGGTAGAAGAAAGCGCTGTGAGTTCGTGCCAACCGTGCGAGCGTGGGATCGTTGGGATTAATGTGTTCGAATATGAGATCTAAGACATCGTATGTCGAGAAAATGCGCTGTGAAGCTGAGGTGTGAGTTGAAGACATGATTGGCGGAGTATGAGTTGATGGGCAAAGAGGGTTATTTGCACGTCTTTTCATAGTGAGACCCTCACGGAACCTAATAAAGACCTACCCTAAATAAACCCGATTAATAATGCAAAGCACTTGGACTAGTAGTGCGGTAGAATATCCAACGGAAAAGAACATGCAATACGCACAAAATAACGGATGGTTGACCGAGAACTTAGTAGAACTTGTTGTTGTAGGCGTTGCTTCCTGGAACTGGAGGCCAGCCAGATTATCTTTGAACAAAACAACGATGTATATGATAAATAATGAATGGCATGGAGGTTGTGACAACGTGAAGGATGAAAGAAACGCACTAATGGTATGAAAGAGTAACACATTCCAAATCGCAGAACATCCGAACATGCGAGGTTCAAGACGTTGAACAGCCGCGAGCTCCGAACCTCAAAACATCATTGTAGCCTCTTGCAGAGAGAACTATCCCCACCCATCCGGCCTCGCCGCCTCCACCCGTAAGAACGAGAGAACCTGCCTAAGGTTGGCAATGATCATGTGTAATCGTTGGCGAAGACGCCCGATTTCGGGAGGGGTATCAGTGCTGCGCAATACCATTCAATCAAGTCAGGGCACATGACAACAGGAGGGTTGAAAATTGTGATCCAATGGAATAGGGTTATGGTGACCATGTCATTGACCGAATGTGTCGTACCGCGAACCAAGGAAGATGAGATCTTCCCTGGTTCGCAGAGACAGGATGTAGATGTCAGCTGTAGCGTTGCTGGGAAATGTTAGACGGAAGTGCTGACGTCAAAATCGTCTGCATATTTTCTGGAGCGTTTTCTTGTCATTCTTGTCGGACATGTACGTGTGAATATCCAAGACTTGCAAGCGGGAGAAACTGGATATCATGCGATCGACCCTGTCGTTGGTTACTTCTAACCGGTCATCGCTCTCGCACTTGCAGTCCAACGTGAAACTTCTCAGGTCCAGTCGTTCGAGACCATTCAATGCCCTCCAAAACGGAATATTGTCAAAAGATCCATCAGATTCAGTGAGACTGAGCTTGAGATGCTCCAACCGGAAAGAGTCGGGGTGGAGGGGACTAATGGCGTCGATGAGAACTGCCAGATCGTGCATATTGGCAATGTCTGTAGAAAGGTTTAGATTTACCAGTCGATTGCAAGACCGCACTGCCGAAAACACGGCAATGCACATCGAGAGGTCAGACGAGATGATCAATTTTTCCAAACTACGGAAGACTGTTGGGCGGGACGTGTCGCCCGTCGGAAGCTCGGTTAGACCGTAGAGTTCTTCTTGTAGATCTGCTACAGATAGACTCCCGGGCTTCTTGTTCTCCGTAATGTCGATGGGACACAGTGATAGAGTACGGAGCGAGGGTAACTTGCTCAACCCGGTGATGACCTTCGGATGCATTGCCAACGGACCAACAATAGCCAAGGTCTGGATCGTCGGCATAGAAGTATTCAATGCTCGTAGCAGAGCCTCTCGCTGATCATATGTGGGAAGAAGAGAGAGTATGACAATATCTGTAATGTGGGTCCATCCAACGCCGACCTCGGCGAGGAAGGAGCTTTCGATTCCCGGATTCGGAGGGTCGTCTCGCATTACTACCGAAAGTATCTTGAGGGTCGGGGTCCGTAAAGCCGTTACCAACAAACAGAAAGAAGGATAGTAGTCTGGCATACAGAAACCCCTGAGTTGCGGTAAAAGTGGTTCTCCATGCTGTTCCGCAAGGCGATATATGGTGTCAACGGCATCGAACTCCACTTGTTTCCGCGTCTTCCGCGACAATGTTCTCCACCTTCACCCAGTCATCTTGTTCATTCTGCGTTTGTCCAGAATAGCATCGGAAGTCATGATGCTGTGTATGAACGAGCTGCACGTTGACCAGCGCTGCAAGTCGTTCTCTAGGGAAGCGATGTCTTTCTCCTCGACTTCAGGAAACAAGGGCCGAAGGGAGCCCAATAAGCAACGGCGAGGAAGGAGGTATATCAAAGGACTTATATCTTTGAGAGACGCCCATAGTCTCTTGACACGAAGTCTGAAGAAAGTCCTGTGAGTTTGTGCCAGTCGTACGAGTGTAGAATCATCGTCGATTTGTCCGACGATAAGAGGCAATGTGTCGTATGTGCTGAAAACCCGATGCGCGGCCGAAGTATGAGTTGCACACGACATCTCGAGGTGTAAGGTAGTGAATGACTAGGGGGAAAAGTAGTAGCGGCTCCACGTATGAGCGCAGGTACCAAACGATGAACAGACTCGTGTATTTCGAATCCGTCCAGGGATGAAGACGCAAGGCAGCTAACACGTGTTCCCCTGCCTGCCTTTGTCGCGCCTTCTTTCTGCGCGGATGCGAAGTTTCGTCAGCAGGAACGATAACGCCGTGATGTTTCAAGCTCTCACGTATACAGACGATCCCCACGATACACACCTCGTGCAGAGAGAACGACGAACGCGTGTTTTCCCCATGTCTCGGGTGCTGAGATCGTTCGCCGATCTTTGGATCAAGTCCGTGGACCACGCAGGAGCAACGTGCGCGCCCAGTACTTGCTTTAATTGACTGTCGATCAGTATATCCCGCGTATCTTCCTAATCCGTTCAACGCCCTCCCAAGGTTCGGCTCGGAGCCTGCTCCTCACCGAGGACTTAATGGGCGATTGGCGTACAACACCAGGAATGGTGCTTGCCTCGCCACCACTCTGGGACAAGACATGACCTTGACTCAACTCCCTGAATCACGCCGGCGTGAGTCTGCGGATCCTTGGCAATAACCATCGGACGATCCAGGAGTGAAACATCCCTGCAAAGCATCACTGTTGGTTGAGTAACCCGATGGAGGATATGAGTTTATGTTTGAGTAGAAAGAGGCCAGAGCGGAGCGGGGGATCGAGGCCTTGCGGAATAGAGCGGACCAGGGATCCCGGCACGATCGTGATTACCCAATTACCCCGATCGCCGGTCCATTAAGTTCGATCGGCTTCGGCTTCTCTTCCTGCCAAGCCACCACTCTGGGTGAGCCCACGTGCACCGGTCCATCGATGGGGTCGTCAGGGTTTGTGATGACCCGAATCGGGGCCGATCCGGCTTAGCCCTTCCACGCGGCTGGACCCTTCCATAGATATCAAAGAAGCGGGTCACGCGATCCGCACCGCACCGCCCAAGAGGGATCCATTCCCCTAGCGCTTGTTTTTCCTGCCAGCGACAAAGAGTCTCTCTGTCCCAAAGTATCGCTTTCTGCGATGTAATCACCTCTCATTCTTATTTCTCTTATTATCTCTTCTCTCTCTATTCATATCATATCTGGTGGCCGACTAATCCCATCCTTCCCCCATCTCAAGCACACGCAATGGACCTCCAAAGCTCAGAATTCAGGCTCACACCAGCCCAACGCATGTTCTACCTACACGACATCCTCGGGCAAATCATCGACCACCTCACCGACCGCACCTCCCTCCACGCCCTCACCCTCACTCACTCGACCTGCTACTTCCTCGCTGCACGGCACCTATGGGCAAAACTGGACAGCCTCCGCCCCTTGATCGCCTTACTCCCGACGGACAAGCTTCCGAGTAGCTTGCACATCTTCTCGAGACTGCAGCTTACCGGTGCGGAGGACGATACCCTCTCTCGATGGCGACTGTATTCCCCTTTCGTCAGCTCTGTATCGCTCGACTTCTGCCTCCTGGGAAAACGGGCCCCTCTGCGACATTTTTGGCAGTATCACACCGTCGCTTCAGAACGCCTCGATCAGTTGAATAGGGACGTCATGCACTCCCTCGAACCGTTCGCGACACCGGAAGGGATCATTCTACCAAACCTGCGGGAAGTAGTCATGAAGAGCTACACACCAACAGGATGCGAGGCAGCCAAGATCCTCTCCCCTTGCCTCGACCGGTTGTGCATCACCCTACCCGGAAAGGGCTCAGAGGGCATAGAGGAGTCATCAGAGCAGAGTGTCTTCACCCTCCCTCCGCACTTCCCCCATCTCCGATCACTCGTCATCGACGGGAGTGAAGGCACGCTCCCAGGGCGCAAAGCAGTTATCCAAGCTCTCCAAGATCTTCCCCTCACCTCCTTCAAGATAAAGTGCAACCTTGCGCGAAGTGCAGACCTCCTGCTCGCACTCTCCACCCTCCCTCTGCAGGAACTCGAGATAGACGACACGTCCCAGCGCTGGCCTACTCTTTTCGTCAATGACGAAAGGTGGGGGGACATGTACGATTCTCCTCTGGCGGATTTCCTCGGTGCGGAGCAAGTGACGGAGCTGCATAAACAGCACAAGCTCAAATTTCCCCACTTGACGGAGCTTACCGTCGCTTCAACACTCCCGTTTTGCTGCGCGATGATCCGCGCTCTAGGGGCCAACCTCACCAGGCTCAAAGTCCAGACCATCCTCCCACGGTCTGAAGACCTCCAAACCCTCACCGAGGCCATCTCCTCCCACGCTCTGAAACTCCACCACCTCTCCCTCATACTACGCGACGCCGACTCGCTCACCTCCGCCTGCTGGCCCGCGATCTACACGCTCTCGAAGTTGGATATGCATACTTTCCAGCTCGAGTGCCGGTACGGGCATGTGAGCGACGCGTTCCAGGTGAGTGAGGAACGGTTAGCGCTTTTGGTGAGCGGTTGGAACGGGGTGCGGGAGGTGAAGGTGGGAACGGTGAGGAGGGACGGGTGGGGGTTGTACCCTCTGCAGAGCGTTTCGCTGGAATTCTGATTTTCTGAAATTTGAGGTCTGTGATACTCAGGTAAATACTCTTGCATTCCTTCTATTCTGCCTTCCTACCTTTTCGCCTTTCGCAATCACATCACGTTACATCCAAGCATGCATCGCGTTTCTTCTTTCATTATCCATAATTTATCATTTAGGCATATGCATAGTTTTGTTTATGGATATAGCGTGCTAGTACCCCAATTTGAGCTTCGTTCCGAAAAACTTTGCTTTTGTCCGAAGAGGTCGCACGTCACGTGGTGAGGTGTGAGAGACACGTGAAAGGGCAGGAACACGTGTACACTGAAACCACACTAATCTCTGTCCCAAGTCTTCAACCGCTCCTCAGGTCAGCGCAATGTGGAGACCTACGACGTCCTAGCTCTGATCATCAAACAAACGGATACGCATACCTGTACCGACTGGTACGAACTCACAGCGCGTTCTTCACCCTCTGCGCGTCAAAGGACTCGTGGCGGCACTCACTAGCTCGGGTGTCCGGTGTCGGTCTATCGATCTAACCGGCTCATTTCAAAAAGATCGTGTCTTCGAAGCCCTGACTAAGATGTTTTTGGATCTTACATTTGACCTCAACTCCTGTGCTGCGATACTGCGAGCAATACGCGTGCCCTTAGCGATTCTAACGATCTGCACTGAAATCCCGACTGTGGTTGTCTTGCTTCTTCTGATCACCAACCACAAGTTGCGGCATCTCACCAACTCTTGGTATTTGTAAGATTCCTTCTTCTGGGGAACACTGCACGCACTCCAATTGATCGATCTGTTCAGCTTGACGTTGAACTGCACATGCGAGAGCGATAATGGACGACGAATTCCCGACAGAAGGATCCAAAGGTTGATATTCGTATGCAGCAACATTTGGCTCATAAATATTCACATGTACACGAATGAGGACGACAAAATTACAACAATCCAGAAGACATCAAGACGGATCTGAAGTTCAGCTGTGCTGTTTCCCCTCTTTCCCTTGACTTGGGGAATCTTTTCTTTGTGTTGTGATGGACATATCTGCAGTACGCGAGATCCGCAAGCACAAGTCCAAACGGACGGCAGACGTCGTGAACCACCCTAAAGGAGGAGCATACTATCCCAAGTGCATTCATACCCAGTCCGGGTGAAATTCACACGCCCATGTATGCTAGAAGCGAAGAATACACAACGATGCAGAAGATCGTGAGGGGATGCCAACGCATTACTTTTTCTTGGTTACGAACGACACGGGGTGACGTTGAGGTCCGAATGACGGGATGAACATGGCACAATGGCACACTATACATCCATTGCATCTAGTCTAAGTACACACCCTCATCGAGCGGTATCGCCCTACACAATTTCCTTCACTGCATCCGATAATCTTCAGTGTCCCACCCCACTCGTCGCCTCCCTCAACGCTATCACATCCTCTTCACTGAATCCGGGCACCTCTTCCCCCTTGCCAAGCCGTTCAACCCCTTCCAATACCTTCTGCACGATACCCTCAAACAACTTTCCATTCGTTGTACATTTGTACGCCTCCAGCAGCTTGAACTCTTCTGCATACATGCCCTCAGGCAATCTTCCATCAAGCAACTCGACGAGCTTTGTGTCCACCGGCAAGCGCCCCAGGAACCGCACTCCCTCCTTCCTCGCCAGATCCTCACCTCCGCCGGTGGAGAAGACGTTGCTGATCTCCCCGCAACAGGGGCAGACGTAGCCAGCAAGGTTCTCTATGATACCGAGTAGAGGAAGGGAGACAGTACGGGTGAAGGAGAGTGACTTGAGGCAGTCGACGAGAGATAACGCTTGTGGTGTCGTGACGAGAACGGAAGATAGGCGAGAAGCGAGCGGAGAGAGATGTTCGAGTAATGATAGATGCTCATCGGATGTTCCTGTTGACATGACAAGTTTGTGTTACTCATAGAGAAAGTCAAGATGTAAACATGCGCACCAGGTGGCGTGTCTATAACAAGGTAATCAACATCATCTCCCCAGCGCACCTCGCTCAAAAACTGCCGGATCATGGCATTCTTCTTCGGTCCTCTCCATACAACACTTTCCTCTCTCCTCTTCAACAACAATCCCGTACTCATACAGGCAAGCCTCTGCTCCTCACCGTCGGCATAGGCAGGAACCCATCCGGCAGTGCTCTGATGCACAGACGTTCCTTGGGGCAAATGGAGCATACGAGGTATCGAAGGACCAGTGAGGTCAATATCTAGCAGCGCCACACGCGGTCGGGATAGAAGGGCATACAAAGAGAGGGCGAGCTGGACAGAGACACTTGACTTGCCCACACCGCCTTTGCCTGAGAGAACGAGGATGATATTCGGTATGGCGGAAAGGCGACGGTAGATGGGGTTGTTGCTAGGGTCGGACATCGTGCAGCCGTGTAGATAGTCGAAAATACGAAGTGAGTAGGAAGATACCTCAAATGCTCAAGAAGATGTACAAGTACAGGTGAAGGTGAAATAAGGACTTCGAGGATTTGAAGTGTTCTACCAGCCTTACAAATTCAAGCGCCCATCACCTCATTCAACCCTGACACACGTGACTCTCCACTGAGCGCTCTCCCATTCCTGAACGATCGCCTCGACCGACTCAGCTTTCTATGAGATATTGAATTGTTGGAATAAATACTGGAATTTTGGATTGTGTATAGGGAAAGTAGAATGCAATATCAATAATCTTGTTGTGCATGTGTAAGGAATCTCCTAGTCTACAAGCTTCCTCATCAGATCCACTTTCCTAATCATCCAAAGCAGGCCTCTCACCTCGCTGCACCGAGAGCCCAAAATACGCGCTTTCGGCCACATGCGAACGAATCCAGCGTAAAGCTTCCATCGTGCAACATCTTCGTCCAGCAGAGGCCGAGTAACTCCCAGTTCGTCGATGAACCCGAGGATCGTCCAGAGCCATAAATCAGATGGCAGGAGACGCATCGGCGGATCAAAAGAATCGAGTGTGTGCCATAGTTGATAGGCACATGGCTCCCAGAATTGGCGGCCTGCTAGCATGAGTTGCAAAATAGAGTTACGATCCATGAAGCGTAGGATCCCTTCCGCCAACTCTGGGCAGTTGAAGACAAGCGATTGAGCACGAGCGGCCCTTGATATGTGAGTCGACCTGCTGAATCTCAGAAAAGTGCGAATCGTAGAAAATGTTTACGTACATGACAGGCATCATATCTTGTGAGCGCGGTAGTGATAACTGTAGGAACGCAAGAGGCAGAACCAAACAATTTGTCCTTGCCACTTTTCACCCGGAAAGTCTAAGGCTCAACCTGATCTGGCCGGCCCTAAAGGACTATATAGTCGCTGGATACTCATGAGTAAGAACACGAGTCAAAGGCTGCTGGCTTGCCGCTTGCCGCATTAATGGGCTACGTAGTGAACTCATCGTGTGGCCCTCAAACGCGTCGCCGTTGCGTTCGAACTGAGGAATACACTCCTTAAATGCAAAACATTAGCCTGACTCACAAACCCCAGTAAGCAGGGAGCAAACCAAGCAAACATATATATACAAAACTCTATCGCGCGAACATCTACATCTATGGTCTAGCGGAGTGGGGCAAGCATCTAACATCTAACATCTACGTCTAAGATATGAACGATCGAGTCTCACATTCAGCGCGTGCACGCTTAGAGCGTGCCCTTGACCGCGCCGTCCACACTCTTGGCGAAGTACTCCACGTTTCCGCCGTTCAGGCCAGCCATAGAAATCCTTCCATCCTTGGTCATGTACACGCTGCGCTTGGAAGCGAGCACCTCGGTCTGGGCCTGGGTGAGCCCGGTGAAGGAGAACATACCGATTTGGGAGGTGATGTGCGACCAGTTACCAGGGGTGTGGTAGGTGTTCGTCAGGAGGGTGTAAAGCGCTTCGCGCATGGAGATGATGCGGGAAGCCATGCCTTTCACTTCGCCTTCCCTATATGTGGGTCAGCCGTGTTAGACAACGAAGCAAGACGGGGCGCGTACCACTGCGCGTACAGTGCCGGGTCGTTAAGGATCGTACCTGCCAACCGCGCACCGTGCACGGGGGGGTTGGAGTACATAGGGCGGACTAGGATCTTGAGCTGAGACTCGACGCGCGCCTTCTCTTCTGGCGAAGCCGTAACAAGGGAGAAAAGACCGACACGCTCGCCGTATAGACCCATGTTCTAGCACACAGCAGGTCAGCGGTTTGCTTTGGGTGCGTAGGAGTACGCACCTTAGCAAACGACTGGCACAGCGCGATCTGGTGCCCTTGGCTGACGAAGTGCCTCGGGGCGAAGGCATCACCCGCGATGTCTCCGCTTGCGAAGCCCTGGTAGGCCATGTCGAAGAAGGGGAAGAGCCCTTTCTCCTTGATCAACCCTGAGAGCTCTTCCCACTGCTCCTTGGTCGGGTCCACACCAGTGGGGTTATGCGCGCACGCATGGAGGAGAACGATAGCTCCCGTCGGCATCTCCTTAATGTCCTGAATCATACCGGCCCAGTCGAGTCCAACCGTGGACTTGTCAAAGTACCGGTAGGTCTTGACCTCCAAGGCGGAGTCGCGGAAGATGGGCGTGTGGTTTCCCCATGAGGGAGAGGGGAGGTAGACGACCTTGCTCGTGGGATAGAAGCGGGAGAGGAATGCACCGCCGATCCTGAGGGCGCCCGTGCCGGAGATGCTCTGTGTCACCGCGATAGAACCTTCCTTCAGGGGTGCACAGTCCGCGCCATATGCGAGCTTCGCAGCAGCGGAGGTGAAACTCGGGAGACCGGTAATGGGAAGGTACTCTTTGTCGACCTGGCCGTGGAGGCGGTTCTCGGCTTCCTGAACAGAGGGGAGGATGTAGGGCTTGCCGTTCTCGTCCCGGTATGCGCCAACCCCGAGGTTGATTTTGCGAGGGTTGGTGTCTGCCTTGAATGCCTCGGTCACTCCTGGGGTTATGGACGCATATATTCAGGGAGTAGCATGCATATATGCGCGTGAGAACAAGGTGGTGTAGCAGACAAAGGAAGAATATGCAACAGAATGAGCGAGGGAAGTAGTGTGCAGACAGCAGACGCACCCAGAATGGGATCCGGCGGCCCCTGAGGCACTGTGCTCCACACGCTGACAGGACGTGTGGCTGCGAGCCTGACAAGTCGTGTGGACGCTGGCTTGAGCTGGCGTGAGAGCATGGCTGTCTGTGGATGAATGGTCAATGCGCGGGTGAACGTTGACCTTTGCAGGGAGGTGACCGTGGGAAGTCGAGGAGGAGGAGAGAGGACGAGGGAGGACGAGGGAGGACGACGGGCGGGATAGCGAGCGGAATGCGGTGGACGGCGGTGCGGTCGGCGCGAAAATTCAGTACGTGACGCGCGTCATGATTCGCTCTTACCTCCACCGGAACCGAAGAAAATCAATAGGATCACCGACGGCGTCGGAGAAATATCGGATGACTTCCACGTGCGCATCTCCGTTTCACTGGAATAGTGGCTGTGTCGGGAGCAACAGAGACGGAATTAAATGTCAAACTGTACAGTTGTGGCTGAGGCGCTGGGCCGACCCTCATCTGCACCGTCCACTGACACCTCAATAGTGCACGCCGCCGACTCCTCACCTCCCCACCCCTCAAGTGTACGTATCTCCGCCAATTCCTTATCCCACTCCTCAACTCCTCTGTTTCTCTAGTCATCAACATGGCTCTCGTTCGAGCCCTCCCTCATGACGTCCAGAAGGCATCAGCAAGTGGTACTGTGAAGTTATTCGGGAAGTGGGAAGCCGAGTACGTCTCCTTGCATTTGCAGTCTGATTGTTCACTGACGTTAGACCCAGGTGCGAGTTAAAGGATATCTCTCTCACGGATTACATCCAAGTTACCCGTCCAGTATACGTTCCTCACACTGCCGGTCGTTACGCAAAAAAGCAGTTCAAGAAGGCGCAAATGCCCATCGTCGAGCGTCTCGTAGACGCATTAATGATGAAGGGGCGGAACAACGGCAAGAAGCTCATGGCAGTTCGGATTGTGGCACATGCATTTGAAATTATTCATCTGCTTACCGACCAAAACCCTATCCAGGTTCTGGTTGATGCGATCGTAAACACCGGCCCTCGTGAGGATTCTACTCGTATCGGCTCCCAGGGTACCGTTCGCCGGCAAGCTGTTGATGTCTCTCCTCTCCGCCGTGTCAATCAGGCGATCTCCCTTATTACCATTGGGGTATGTCCTTTTAACCATTCTTTAATACCTGCTCAACCTCTATATAGACGCGTGAAGCCGCGTTCCATAACATCAAATCCATCTCGGAATGTCTCGCCGATGAGCTCATCAACGCCGCCAAGGGGTCATCTAACTCTTATGCCATCAAGAAGAAGGATGAGCTGGAGCGTGTCGCCAAGTCCAACCGGTAAACCGTTGTTGTGGGACTTAGGGCTGGGCGCGGATGGGGCGCACGAGATCGAAGCAGCAGGGATGGGATCGGGTTTGCGTACCTGTGGGGATGTGGGGCGATGTTCATGTTTCTGTATGGCACCGCTATGGAAAAACGCAAAATGCATGCTTTTATGCTCAGTTCTGGGTCGTTGGTTCTACCCTGATGGTACCAACAGCGCCTTGTGGGAGCAAACCTCCAGTACGCTTGTCACATTGCGCACGACCACCGTCAACGATGTTCAGAGGTGAAGCAACGTGTCTTATAAGTATCGTTTCTTGTCATCGGGTCATTAAAGATGGGGCTTCAGGGGTCGCTGCCTTCAAAACTCGTTCAAGACGCGCAACGCCGGTCAATATCCTGTCAGACGCTATCCAAGCAATACACACAATTTCGTTGTCATTCTCCCTGCAGTATTGGAAAGTAGCATGTCCGTTGAAGCCCTTCCATTCGGCGTATCACAAACCTTCGACCGTCACTACCTTGTTGAGAGACACCTTGAAATCGTACGCCATGCTATGGAAAACAGGGAAACCTCCCATCCCGCAATCACCCCACCACTCGAAGCCTCCCGGGTATGTCAAGTTGTCGACCTGAGTAACGGGCGAGTACCCACAAGCCTCAGGCACAGGGATATCCCCGAACTCCCAAACTGCCGTCAAGGGATGGGTAATGACATGCCCCCCATAAGACGTCAGGACCGCCCAAAGCGTCCAACCGGTGCTCGCGCCGGTATAGTTGAAGAACATGCTCATGGACGTGTACGATTCGACCCCGCCGATGAGGGCGCTGCCGGAGGTGCTGGAATAGATGTTCGGGCCAGGAGCTAGGCTGAGCGAGATGTAGTAGCTCGAGTTGGTGGCGTTCCAGTTCAGATCGATCTGGCCACGAGTGGGCTCGGGGGGGGGACTATACATAGCATGTGGTGTTAGCAACCTGTGATCCTCTGAACCAAATAGAACGCCACGCACGATATACGCGACGATTCCAAACATGTTTTCGCAGTTCAGTATGTGGTTTATCTCGGCGCTCCTGCTGGCAAGGAGTTGTATAGGCATCGAGAGTCGACGTGGATGGGGTTCTTGCTGAACAAGCCAACTATTTATACGCAGAGAAGGGGAAATCCCCCAATTAGCGGGCTTGGCTGGTTGATATGTTGGAGCTCAGAACCGCGAGAACAGTAACGTTCCGACACGATATCCCCACGTTGAACAACGCATATGGAGATCATTTGAGGAAAGGGATGATTGAGCACATTTGTGGGGAAATATATCATGACCGCGATTGATGTGTCCTCCCGCCCCTGAGCGGCGCGCGATGATATGGGGGCAGAGACACACATTCGTTGTTGATCGGGATTCACTGAAACAAAATAGGAATCATCATTAATAAGATGAAGTAGTATGTACGCAACTGCAGTCTCGGAACGCAGTGCATTAAGGGCTTATCGATTCGGAGATGGAAGCGGCGGGGTGACGTTCTCTCATCTTGAAAGCGGATCAGAACATCCAAAGCTTTGTAATGATGATATTCCTCACCTGACCCTACACCACCGATGCACGTGTTCGCGGATGGACAACCAGATCCAGAATTCTCTGAAAATTTCCGCGTTCCTGCCTCCACCATGAACCAACATAAAGATGATGCTTGAAGGTGTCAACTGCCAGGAGACCTCGCAACCCGCCATCCCCCATGATGTCCTGGAAGGGAATTACAATGTCTGCTGCGACGGAGGCCGCTCCACGACAAACATCAAAAAATAGCGGCGCAACGTCATCCGCAGTGTATGCCGATGGGTAGTAATGTATCGCCCCACAATTACCATTTAGCGAAGTCCGTTACGACCAGTTGAGATATCCAGAAATAAACAATCACAAGACAGCCGAGCACAGTCATCTTCTCCTGCATGGTTCATGCCTACAGGGGTGAAACCGGCAGAAGAGGATTGATCAAGTGCGTGCAGGACAGCGCATACCGGGGCGGTACCTTCGTCGCTCATGGCAGTGCCATATGACCAATGGTCTAACTAACCGTGGAGAACGAGCCTGTGAACATTTCCCAGACATGGTAATAGTACCAATGAGCCAAATTCAAGTGGGACGATGAGTCAGAGAGGACACGCTGAGCGAGAAAAAAAAAGATGAGCTCGAGCACAAGGTCTCGGAGTTGAACGAGAGCTTGGAAACTGTTACTGTAGCTGAATAGGGCGTGCTGCAAGCAAATGAGAACAGCATAGCGTTGCCAAATATGACGCCGACGTTATTGCACCTCTCTGGTGGGTCCGCGACCGTACACGGGTGTATAGCCTGCCTGGAATCTTTCGAGAGAGGCTTGATCTCCCCGTTTTTCCCATGCTTTGTCATTAGATATCCCGCAGATTCCCACCAACATCAGGCTTTCGCAGCGTATCAGTTGAGAATAGTGTGATGCACCAGGGGAATTTCTCGCGACGGTCGCCAAAAAGAAAGAGCGTGACTGTGCAGCTGGGCAAGATGACAAAGGACCAGGACGTTATTTTTGACTCCAGCCCCCTTGTTGCTGCGGCGTCAGGAGGTGACCAAGCATCAAGGTGGTAGAAGGAAGGAATACATGCGCCGTGCATGTGGCTTGAGTAGACCGCTAGAGCGAGCGCATTATCAAGCAGTTGCACAAAGTCAGGAGGATGGGAGTGAGCAGAAGGAAGGAAGGAATTGCGGAGGTGTAAAACCCGTGATTCCGGTTCGGCATCCCATGGAAGATGCCGTGCCGATCGGCCGCTCCCGACACCGCCACGGCCGACCTAGCCGCCTGGGGATTGGGCCGCATCATGAACACCTTCTCCGTGTTGTCGGCCGATGGTACCTTTTACTCAGCGCTCTCTTGCCGGCCGATGTTCTTGCCGAGAAGAGGAATCTCTTAAAGATCGTCCGAGTACCATTCATGAAATTTCTATAAAGGCCCTACTGCCATACTCCGAAATGCCGACACTGACAACTTGCTTGCCTGTTTGCCTGCTGGCTGCTGGATGAACTAAAATACGTTAACGGAAGGCTCTTGGTCGGCTAAGTACCGACAGATCTGCTGGCGTTATATTCTCCGTTCGGCGAGAAGACAAGTGCGGTATTCGTAACACGGCTTTTCGGCCGGAGTGTCATTGTACCCCGTCATATACCTCGAGTTGTTCAAGGCTCATCTTGGCTAGCACACTCTTTGGTACCAGGAGCTCACGAGGCCACCATGACCCCCCCATTATTCGAAGAGGATAGCGGGCCCTCGACACCGATAGAACTCCGAGAAAAAGATATGCCCACTTCTGCTCGGACGAGCGGGACGCTCGTCTCCCCCTTTCCTGCTCCACCTGTTGCCCTAGCGGACACCGAGAAACGCTCAAGCTCCGATTCCCGACCCAATGACACAGGCGGGGAAAGCAAGGAACGTTCTGGCGATTACGAGGATGGGGATGGGGATGGACCCGAACAGGGGAAGGTGGACATCAGCCATCAGGAAGGGCATGGGAAGATCGATATCGAGCATGTAGAAGTAGTGAACGACCCCAGGAAATGGCCCATGAGAGTCAAGGTACGTCCTGATGCATCCTCCGTCACGAGCGCTCTACTTCCTTTCTACTGGGCAACCAGAGTTCTCGCGGTCTAAGCTCACTCGGGGAACAGAAACTAATCCTTGCCTTAATCGCGACCGCATCCATAGCCCCCACCCTCGGAGCGTCGATCTACAATCCCGCCTTCAACCAAATACAACAAGAGCTCTCCGCGACAAGTGCAGAGATCGCACTCTCCCTCGCACTCTTCATCCTCGTACAGGGAAACGCCCCGCTCGTCTGGTCCGCTATTTCCGAGATCAAAGGCCGCAAACCGGTGTACCTCAGTTCCCTCACTCTGTTTGCAGTAGGGTGCATCGTAGCAGCCGAAGCGCACACCATGAGTGTGTTGATCGGCATGCGGATCCTCCAAGCCGCGGGAGCGTCAGCTGTGCTCTCCATAGGCGCTGGTACGCTGGCAGACGTTTTCGAGCCGCGAGAACGAGGCTCCATGCTGGGGATATACTACGCGGCGCCTCTGCTTGGGCCCTCCCTCGGTCCTCTCTTGGGAGGAGCACTGACCACCGGCCTTGGGTGGAGGAGCACCTTCTGGTTTTTAGTGATCTTCGCGGGCTGCACGCTGGTGCTGCTCATCTTCTTCCGCGACACGTTTCGGAAAGAGCGCTCCCTAGCCTACCAGAGCGCGGTGAACCGAGCAGCTGCACGTGCACGCGCCAAATCGGGTGGCACAGCTACGGTCGAAGCGGGGAGGGTTGTCACCCGAGGAGGGGAAAGCGAGGAGATCAAGCTCTCCCTACGGGACGTGAACCCAATCACGCCAACGTGGCGTATTCTGCAGAGGAGCAACAACCTCACCATCCTCTTTGGCAGTGGGCTCCTGTTTGCTTTCGCGTACAGTACGACTTATACGGCGGCGGTGACGTTTGCTAAGCCGCCGTACAATTATGGGAGCTTGGAAGTCGGGCTGGTGCTCCTCTCCTTCGGCTTAGGTGCGTCCCCCCAATCGGCCTGACGGTACATATACTCACCCACTGACACACAGGAAACGTCCTCGGCTCCGTGCTGGGCGGTCGGTGGTCCGACCGTTCCCTAGCTCGGCTAAAAGCGCTCAACGATGGCAAGTCCAAGCCGGAAATGCGCCTTCAGAGCACGCATATCGTCATGCCAATCCTGCCACTGGCGACGCTCGCGTACGCGTGGACCGCGCAGGAGAAGACAAACGTCGCCGGGCCGGTGGTGTGCTTGTTCTTCTCTGGATTTGCGACTATGTGAGTGTGCTTCTTTCACTGCTCTGTGCCAGATCTGGGCAATGTAGCTGACCGCAAGGACAGGTGGATCTACTCCTCCACCCTGGCATACGTCGTCGATGCTAACGTTGGTCGCTCCTCCACAGCAGTAGCAGTCAACTCCTCCTTCCGGGGTGCAGCTGGGTTCGTCGCTGCCGAAGTTGCAATACCATTGCAGAACGCGATCGGCGATGGTGGTTTGTACAGCCTGTGGGCGGGGCTGACGGTCTTGAGTTTGGTGCTCATATTGGTCACGGAACGATGGGGTGGGAGTTGGAGGGAACGGGGTGTGGAGAGGGAGGAACGGAGAAAGGAGGAAAAGGAACGGAAGGCGAACGAGCTCCAGGCTGCTTAAGCCTCATGACCGGAAGGGAAGAGCCGAGTGGATGGCGTGTATCATTAGAAAGTGCTTGGCTGACGTATTGTTATCATTCTTACATGTCCATATAGAGATCTGCATTAACGGTGTTGTGTTTATCTCTTTGGCAGGCGTCCTCATAAGGACATATCGAACGCCCCTTCTTGCCGCTGCTGTTTTAAGCCTGGTGACAGGGATGTATTACTCTTTAATCGGCATTGTAGTCTTTACTTATTTAGGCCTTTCATTAATAACGTTACGTAAGACATGAAACTCTGTCCCGGCTGATGTTGCACCCTTACCTTGAACAAACCGATCATATGCATTCTACGGCTCTGCTGGCACATGCTGCTTGTTCTACGGGGAACTCCATCTCGGTGAATGCAATCGAGTGATGTTCAATCGCTGAATTGATTGGAACACCAGTACTGGTTCAATGCTTCAAGATGCTGCACCTCGTCGTTCCCGTTTGACACCCATACGAACCAGCCAATGAGAAGCCCGGTTGACTCTGCGTATCATTATAGCCAATGTCTTGGAATCGGGTTTCCACCTAGTTGTCGGATTTGCAGCAGCGTGTGTTGCACTGGCTGTTCTGGTCTTTACAGTGCGAATGCTGCATGCGGGACCGACTGTAAGGGATACGTAGATATCTCTGTACTTACCATATACGGTAACACCGCCTTTAGGGCGATCGGATCGTCCGATGGACTTACATGTAGCGGGTGGCTGTAGACCACCCTTTTCTCTATCTCTCTTAGTACACTCACATTGTATTACTACTAGCTAGTAACACATTGATCTAGTGTACCTATTGGGAGTGAAAGGGCATCATAAGCCCTTTCACTTTTTTACACTACTCCTACAATCAGAGTATGTTAGAGACTAGAGCGAAAACTGCTCCGTGTTAGATTTTGGTCTTTGTACAATGGAGACCAACAAAAAAGTGGCAGAACGGGAATGTCCCCAGAAGACTGAGGTTGGTCCTAAAGCCTTGGGACCTGGGATTGTAGATACACCCATAACTGCGCAAGGCTCTTCGAGCTTTTCTGAGCCTGGGCAAAACTCAGATTGGGGTCCCCTTCAACTGGACCCAGCATACAGGGATCAGGCTGCTGGTCCCAGCACTCCTAGGGAGCAAATGGAAACAGAGGATTCCAATATGCAATTGGATGAGGATAACTCAACCAACAATGCTTCCAATAGAAGTGTAGGAAAGTTTGTGGGACAGCAGATCCCAAGTAGACCAAGTGGGTCTAATGTTGATCCCTGTAATGTGGGAATGGATTTGTCTGGTAACAGATGAAATGATCTTAATAACAATTTGTTAGAATCCAGAGAAGAGGCGGATCCCTTCTCTGAGCTGAGTCAAATGCTCAAAATTGCTGGCATTTCTCAGTGCATGATTACACAATATAATCTGCTTGCAAACTGCAATCCAGTTAATGCTCATATGTACAACAAGATGGGCAAGCAATTGCTTTCTGTCCAATTGAACAGAATGGCTCCTATTATTGAGCCAAGAGAAAGTTTGCCCACTGGATTGGGAATACAAATGTTGCCCAGTTTGCCATGTTTGCAACTCCCATTGCGGGAAGAGGGCAATTTGCCATGTTCACAACTCCCACCTAGGGAAGATGAACCTAGAGTGGGTTCAGAAAGAGCATCCATAAAGGATGATGCAGTTACTGAGGCAGTTCATTTGAGAAGTCCTCCATGTATGGAAATGAGGAAAGAGTCCTCATCATATGTTCATTTTGATATGGACCAAACTGGTCCATACATACTGAAATTTCCATTTGGAAATTCCACTAGTGGTTCTTCTCAACAGAACCAAAAGTCTGCATCACGCAAATCTGCACCATCCTCTACATTGAGGAGTAAGACTGATCTTCTTGCAGGATTGATGATCCCAACAACTCCTATGTGGAGGATCAAGAAGTGGTTACACACAGCAACTGTGCCTGTAGCAAATCATCTTCCCCTGTCAAAGACTGGGTTCAAGCCTAAGGCTTTGGACACCTCTTATGGAGGTGAACCTGATGTAGAGAAATTCATAGAATTTCTCACAACATTAGTCTGCACGTTTCGCACAGCTGGGGCAACTGGCCCGACTTGTAGTGATTGGCAAATCACTTATACCAGTCAATATGTGACTGGAGAAACTCACCATTGGGTCAAGCAAAATATAGATCTAGGCCACTGGCTTAGAGAAGACTGGACATTCTCCCAAATGATGTGGGGAATGTATGGAAGGTTCTTCTCTTCAGAAGAAATGATGAAAGCATATTCTGCTTTCAATTCCTTGGTACAAGGAAAAGACACTGTAGAAGTGTATAAGGGCAAGTTTTCCATTATGGGTAGGATGTACGAGCATCCTAACAACTTCCAAATAAAGAGGAGGTTTGTCTTGGGGTTTGCTGAGGATATTACCATGAGTCAGGATATGACATTGATACAAGCACCTTTGATGCTTTATACTTGCAAGCAATAGAGTTGGAAAGAGGACTCGACCTGTTGCAGGGACTACGGGCATATAAGAATATGTCCAGGAGTATGTTCCCCAGTCGGGGATCATATGGCAATTCCTTGCCTATGAGGAGAGCAACTCCTCAGACCTACCAATTGTATCAACAGGTACAAAATGAGTATAGGCATCCTGAGATGCCTAGAGCTGGGGCAGGCCCTTCTAGGGGCCACTTGTTTGATAGGGGAGTTACTCCCCACAAAGATCCCACTCCTATTGGTAGTGGAAAAAAGGCTGCAATTCCCGGTACAACTGGGAATGCAAGGAAGGACATAGCTCATCCTATAGATGGCAGGCCAAAGCCACCCTTGCCTGGGGGTAGTCTGTCTTGTTACTTATGTAACAAGATGGGCCATTGGGCAAATGTTTGCCCACTACATAAGAGTGTGCATCATGCCACACACAAAGTGGTGGCAGATGATGACATCCTGTATGATGATGGCATTCACACCATACTCACCAGGATACCCCCAGATGAGAAGGAAGAGGACAATTGTCCTGCTGAGGAATTTGGTCTATATGACCTGTTCAATGAAGTTGCTGATTATCCTCCAGTGGAGGATTCAGCCAATATCAAAGATATAGACACCATCAAAGAGGACAACAGTAAGCCCATGAGTGTGCAGGTTATGTCTGTTAAGCCCTTTGGCTTAACAACAGTTCAAGCTGCACCAGCTCAGACCAAATTCGCCACTGCAAAGATGGTGAAGCCAGAGATATGGTGAAGGGACAGCACTGTCCGATTAGGTAGAGGACAACCTCTACAGGATGAGACAGCTGCCTCTCCCATTGAATGCTACATCAGCATTGCTGGTTTCCCAGCATTTGCCTTGCTAGATAGTGGGGCAGAGCTTGACACAATCTCTGCAGACTTTGTCTGAGCCCATGGCTTGGAATATGTGAAGCTCAAGCACCCTGTTGCCCTGCAACAGATGAGCAGGGGAAGCTGTACTGTAATATAGTACAGTATCAATGCCAAAGTTGACATTGAAGATCAAGTAGTCAAGCACTATTTTGACCTTGTCAACACTGACAAATACCAAGTAATACTTGGTATGCCCTTTGGTAAGAAGTTTGAGATCATGCTAGATCTCAGAGGGAAAGGTCTCCAAATTGGGGGACCTCAAGGTAGATGGATCACCTCAAGAGAGGCATTGTCCCATGGGATACAGAATAGTATCCCTAAAAAGGATTTGTCCCTCCTTAAAGAGGCAAAATGTTCCAGCAATGCTGGTGTGAAATGAGTGCTCACAGTGCAAACACCCAGGATGAAAAACCCAGTGGTTGCTGGGGAAGGTCTGCATTCCTATTCTGAGGAAATGCTTGCTGGCATAAGGGAAGGCCTTATGTCTGCATTAGAGGATCTCATGGGTGAGATCCCACAAAGGCTTCCCCCTCTGAGGAGGGTAAATCATCATATCAACTTAATTGATGATAAAGCCATATATAGGACTAGATGTCCTGCTTGCCCTGAAGTGCACAGGGATGAGCTTCACAAGAAGACTCAGTGGTACACCACAGCTCAGTGGTGGGTACCAGCACAGACACAACAGGCATTGCCTATGTTATGCCTGTCAAAGGATAATGGTCACCTGTGAACAACTGTGGACTGTCAAGAGAGAAACTTGAATATGGTGAAGGATATTACACTGATGCCAGATCAGAACGAGATCTGTAGATGGGTTGCAAAACACCCATTTCAATCCAAGTTGGATCTTCGAAATGCATTCAAAATGCTTTGAGTGCATCCAGATGACATCTGGAAGACTGCATTCCAGAACCCATTTGGAACATTCCTGAGCCAAGTGGGCCAACAGGGAGATTGTAATCTTCCAGCATCATTCCAACAAATGATGATGGACATCCTACAGGAACATTGGATGCATAAGGTAGTATGCTACCTTGACAACATTTTTGTTGTGGGCTCTACGCTGTATGAGGCCCTTGCCAATTTAAGGATTGTATTTGCAATCCTTAGAGAGCAGAAGCTCTACTTATCTCCAGATAAGGTTGATTTGCTGTCAAGTAGCATAGAGTGTCTAAGATCACTGATGACAGTGTGTATGCAGACAATGATAAAATGTCCATAATTAGGAATGCTAAGTTTCCTACAGATGCCAAAGGAATGCAATGCTTCCTTGGCATGGTAACATATCTGGCACCTTACTTGCCAGACATAGCCAGATATACTGGCCTGTTGTCAGCATTGACACACTCTAATAGGAGCTACAATGTAACTCCTATGCACAAAAAGTGCTTCAAGAGCATAATTGCCCTGGCAATGGACTACCCAGTCCTGAAACCCATTGTTCCCAAGAATGGGATTCCAGTCTTCTACCAGTGGGGTAGGTTGTTTTTATTATGGCCAAGGGACATCATGGGACAAAGTCCACCTGGCTGGATTTCATTCCAGGCAATTTACAGATGCCCAGATGTTGTACTCAACATACAAGCATGAGCTTCTGGCCAT